AACTAAGGGGCCGAGCCCAACTCCTGAAAAACAGCCCTACACCAAAATCCCCCTCCACCAAACTTTACACTTAGCACAATGCAGTCAGACTAGTACCGTTCTCCTGTCAACCACCAAACCCAGACTCATCCATCGGACTGCCAGACGGAGAAGCGTGATTCGTCACTCCAGAGAACACGTCTATACTGCTCTAGAGTCCAGTGGTGGCGCTTTACATCACTGCATTCGACGCTCTGCATTGCGCTTGGTGATGTAAGGCTTGGATGCAGCTTCTCAGCCATGGAAACCTATTCCATGAAGCCATTGAGCTAATCTGAAGGGCCACATGAAGTTTGGAGGTCTGTAGTGATTGACTCTGCAGAAAGTTGGTGACCTATGCGCCTCAGCATCCGCTGACCCCGCTCTGTCATTTTACGTGGCCGACGATTTCGTGGCTGAGTTGCTGTCGTTCCCAATCGCTTCCACTTTGTTATAACACCACTGACAGCTGACTGTGGAATATTTAGTAGTGAGGAAATTTCACAACTGGACTTGCTGCACAGGTGGCATCCTATCACGGTACCACTCTGGAATTCACTGAGCTCCTGAGAGCGACCCATTCTTCCATAAATGTTTGTAGAAGCAGTCTGCAGGGCTAGGTGCTTGGTTTTATACACCTGTGGCCATGGAAGTGATTGAAACACCTGAATTCAATGATTTGGATGGGTGAGTGAATACCTTTGGAAAAAATTTACTACAATTTAAATGTATTTTTAGAGCTCAAAACACACTAATGTACTTAAATTGCATCATAAGAGTGGCACAAAACACGTATAACTAATGTGCTCAGTGTATAAGATTGTGATTTAAATATGTATCATTTACACATTCATAATGATTTACCACAAATGAGGGGTTCCAAAGTTACATAATTATAGCATGTAACTATTTCAAAACTACTTACATATACTTTTTTATATACAGGCATCTACCCAGATCCACTTAAAGGATGACAACCACAACATAATACCAGAGACCTTTGACCTTTCTTAATTTTTTCTCTTTTAAATCTATTATTAGGGTTCAAGCATGCAATGCATTAACCCTATTGGAATTGTCAAAGTTTTTCTTATTATTATTTTTCCGCCCTGAAACGGAATGCACAGCCCAAACCGTAAGTCCTACAGACTTGAAACTTGGTCAATAGGTAGTAGTCCCTCCCACTACTCAGGCGCAAGGAATCAGCCCAGTCGGCCACAAGGGGGCGCTATTGCGCAGGTCAACGCTTTTGGGCCTATAACTCCTAAACCAGATTTTTTCTAGACAAGACATAATTTTTTCCTGATTCTATGAGTCCAAACAAACAACTTTGTCATTGGGACCATTTAGCTCCCCCACTTAGATTGAGCTAATTTGCATAATATGCAAAACCTACTTTTGCAAACTAGTCCTACAATTTTTGCCCAATCCCCATGTAGTTGGTGTCAAAAAATTCAGAAGTGCCGGAAGGTCAATAATTATCAAAAACATTTAGACTTTTCTAAACAACATGGCTGCCATATGCAAATGAACCCTTCTGGATAAATTCAAAATAATTCAGAATTAATTGAAAAATCTGTAACTCAAGAATCCTTTAGCCAAAAAATTTCAAACTTCACAGGCCTAGTCAGTTGCTCATTCTGAGGTAGCCATTCGATTTTTGTGTGCATAAGTAATTAGGGGGCGGAGTTAATGCTATATGGCTGTTTCTCAGCATTCGTACATCCAATCAAGCTGAAACATTGCAGATACCATCTGTTGGCCAGATTATAAGTGAATCCCTAAAGAGAATTTGATTCATTGAAGTATATGGTCGCCATCGGCCAATAAGCCTTTAGCAGGCTTTTGACAGGCTTAACATTCACCAAACTTGAATGATCTCTACATATAGCCACTTTCTAACAACCAACCAAGTTTCAACAGATTGGACCACTGGGGGGCGCTATTCATAAAAATCAACATATTATTACATATTATTACTATTTTATTACAAGTTTGCTTGAAAGTCCTTGTATATCGTATGTAGTACATTATTCCAAACAATTTTGCAAATGCATATTTATTACAAAACTGCATAGTTTTTTGTAATCGGTAACTGTTTAAAAAGCCTACTTTTCAAACTAGTCCCTGGATTTTGATCCAATCTTTTCGACCTTGGTCTAGAACAATTCTTTGGCATCTCTAGGTAAATAATTATCAAAAACATTTTGATTTTTCTACTCAGGGTTGTGTGGATCAATCAATTAATTATAGTGACCATGGCATTGTTAGCTTGATTAGCTATAACTCAACAGTGATTGGTCAGATCATGTCCAAACTAAGGGCAAATTAAGGACTTTTACATATTTGGACTCTAATGGTGTCTGACAATTTTGGTCCAGATTGGCCTTTAGGGGGCGCTTTAGCACTCAAAAACACAAAAAAAAAAATCAATTAAAATGCTATTACAATGTTATTACAAGGTCGACAGATAAACAAGTGGTGCCATACGACTCGGTTCACTCACTTGAAAAACTTTGAGTACATGTTCTGTCAGAAATTGTACTGTTTGTCTGGTATTTTGGCTTATTCATTGGAAGACTACATTATATGAAGGCTTATTATACAAAGGTCAAAAGGTCAAGCTGACCAAAACTTGGTAAACATCTTTGGATATGGTCCCTGATCAAGAATCATACCATATTGTGACCTTTTCACTAATTCTGACCCACTTTCACTGAGCTTATACTTTACTTTAGTCCTATGTTTCATTTTTTCATCTTTTTCAACTTTACTCATATTGTTGCCTGTAACTTTTGATCAGAGTGATATAGAGACAAAATACTTTTTTCTGCTGATTCCTTGGGACGTGCTGAACAAGAGCACTCCAGTCAATTTTAGCCCCACCCCCTTAGTTTTTGAGCTAATTTGCATAATGTGAAAAACCTATTCTTGCAAACTAATCTCTGGATTTTTTGCCAATTATTATCAAATTAGTACCATAAGGTTCAGAAGACACTGATCCTCAATAATTATCAAAAACATTTTGACTGTTCCACTGAGTGTATTGAGAATCAATCAATCAATGAACTACTGCAAACATGGCATTGCTAGCTTGATTTGCCATAACTCAGTCATTGGTCAGATCATCTCCAAACTCGCAATAATTTTACAAATTAGGACTCTAATGGTCTTGCCCAATTTTAGTCCAGATTGGCCTTTAGGGGGCGCTTTAGCACTCAAAAAAAAACGTAAAAAAAATCAACTAAAATGCTATTACAATGTTATTACAAGGTCAACAAACAAACAAAAAGTGCCATGTGACTCAGTTCACTCTCATGAACAACTTTCTAATTACATATTATGTCAAAAATTGCACTGCTTGTCTTTTATTTTGGCTTATTCATTCAAAGATTTCACTATACAAAGGCTTATTATACAAAGGTCAAAAGGTCAATCTGACCAAAACTTGGTAAACATCTTTGGATATGGTCCCTGATCAAGAATCATACCATATTGTGACCTTTTCACTAATTCTGACCCACTTTCACTGAGCTTATACTTTACTTTAGTCCTATGTTTCAACTTTTCATCTTTACTCATATTTTTGCCTGTAACATTTGATCAGAGTGATATAGAGACAAAATTCTGACCCACTTTCACTGAGCTCCTCATACCAATAGGGCCTCTTATGAGTGCATTGGGCCTCATTATGGCCTACATCAAATCAATGGCTTAAATATAGAACCAATCCACTGTGGAAGTGATACTATGTGAGAAATGCTGCCATTAGTCATGCAGTTTAGACATCTATGTTGACAACCTCTTGGATGTTCTACAAACCAGTGTAGATCAGTACATAGGAATGTAAAACTAATGTGTTGAAACACCACTGCTTGTTGTTTATGGCAACTGAAGGCCTTTTGATGAACTGACTTCCTTGCAGTTCTACCTATAAATAAGACCCACAGCTTGAGGCCTTTTTAGGCCTAATGGGCTAAACCAAAAGCTTGAGGCCTTTATAGGCCTAATGGACTAAACCTGCAGGAGGGCCCGTACTGCTGTTGTGTGCTTGAACCCGCTTATTGCCGCTTGCGGCTATATTTTTAATTGTGTTTTAATGATGTTGTTAATTTCCATTTTCCTGCATCCTTTTTCAAATTTTAATTATCTTTGTATTTTCTTCATTTGTAAAGCACTTTGAATTACCACATGAAACACAGAAGTTCCTCTTTGAACAGAAGCTCAGGCCTTCAGTGTGAGCTGAAGGAGTTATTTTTAGTCTGTTGTGGTCAGTGGTTTCTGTGCTGCTTCTGCTGGGTTCCTGTTTTTATACACATCTGAGTATGTGGTCTTCACGGTGTCAGAGTCAGTAGTGTATTCACTTCTTAATATTCAGGTCTGTTCATCCACCCTGTGTTTGTGACTCTACTGCTCATTTGTAAAACTGAATGCAAAAGATAAACATTTTAATTCCTTTTCTCTTTCTTCTTTCCTTCTATTCACAGAGTGGTCATTCAGATTTACAACACTGTCCTTTGTAGAAAATGAGATATGTATGAAACATATCTGTCCAGCACAGCAAATATTAACTCTTCTCTTAGTTGACAAACACAATAATCTCTGTTTTGTCCCTATTTAATTGAAGGAAAATGTGCTCATTAAAATAGTTACTACTATCATCATCATCATCATCATCATCATCATCATCATCATCATCATCATCATCATCATTAGTAGTAGTAGTGTTCAACTACAAAATGAATTAAATAATTTCTTTTATTCAACATAAAGCATGGCACAACGTATCCTCCGCTGTATTTCTTATGAGTGGGTGATAACTGCAGTGAAACATTTTAAAGTAAAAGCTTTTAATGATTAGACACGGTATTGTGTGAGTGGCAGCTGAGATGCTCCACCTCCTGCCAGTGTCTCCTCCTCCTTTAGGAAGTTCTCTCTTTATCAGTCTCTGTTTTCTGCTCTACTCAGACAGAACTCTCTGCCCTGCATGAAGATGAAGCTCCTCACTCTGCTCCTGCTGCTGGGTTTCACCTCACCGACCGGGTCAGAGGTTGTGCAGTCTTTCAGAAGTAAGTGCCCTCAGTTCTTCATTGGACACCTGCCATCAGCAAAACATGAAGTCACCACTCCAACTGTTCTCAAGGGAAAGAAGTATAAGCAGATTTGTCAGCGCTGGGAAGGCCAGTACAGATACGCCACTCTCTACGACACAAAGAGCAGGATCCCTGTCTACTCTGCCTACACGTTCTACCTTAAGGATCATGTTAAACGAAACAATGACTGGAAGGTCGAACCTCAGGTGAGTAAAGCTATTTGAACCCTCAAGGGCCAGATGTATGTAGTGCAATATTGACACAAAATGGCTGTTTTTTTGTGAAAAAAATTTAATTAAACATTTTCAGAACAAAAACAATACAATGGAACATAAGACACACACAGAAACACAAATCAGTAAAATAAATTCAAACTAAACAAGGCCCAAACTTTTTCTGACCAAGTCAATTGCCACAGACCAAGTGACCACATTATCAGTCTGTGCTCAATTCAATCTGGCACTGACAAACATACATAATCTAAGATGTTTATCCTTCTGGTAGATGTTTATCTCTCCCAGGGCTCACTGTGCGGAGTGCGGAATGTGGAAAGCAGGAAACACCCTGGACAGATTGCCAGTCCATCACAGGACTCTGACAGTGACCGCTCCAGAAAACAGAGCTTGAGTGCATGCTCGGTTCTGCACGAAATTTCAATATTGCTTTCTTCACTGCTGTCAAAAAAGCTATTACTGTTTTCTTTTGACAGAGTTTCAGGTTAAGCACTAAATCATCTCTGAGCAGAAACAAGGTAGGACGTAAATGAAGATTTAAAAACAGGGAAGCTGCTAGCTGTTACTCGCTGCCAGAAAACTTTAATAAATGTTCTGAAACCATCTAAAGAGCATTTAGAACAAAATTCATCAATGCAAAATTTGATTTGGAATGCGTGGTGAGGGGTCATAACATGTGTGTGCAAATTTATGGTCAGCTGTCAAGCAAAACTTTTTAAACTTTTAAATCTTAACTTAAATCAATCCAGATCTGAGTCATCTACTGTTGAGTCACGGCTTCAAGTTTTTGGTTGCACCGAGCACATCTGGAATATTAGAAATGTTTATTAATAATAGACAGCATCCAATAGATGCAGAGATGTGGATGTAATTTGCAGAAACCTATTCAAAAAGCTATGCCCACACTGCTGCACAAAGCCTGAGTTACAAGAAATAGACTGGGATGGAAAGAGATTCCTTTATGTCTTGTGTCAGGCTCTAGTCCTTGTGGGTCAAAACACTGCAGACTTCAGCATACTGCCTCATTAAACACACCTGATTCAGCTCATTAGTTGATTAGCAAGACCTTCATGAACTGAATTCAGAGCGGTAGATGAGGGTGAACACTAATCTCTGTAGCACCTTGGTCCAGGAGGTCCCCAGTTTGACATGCCTGCTTTATGTCATTTAATTCTTTGAGGCCATTGTTGTAAAGTCCTGGCTTCCTGCTAGGCCAACCATGGCCACCAGAGGGAGGAAGAGAACTACTGACTGGCGTCAGCTGTTAAGCATCCTGCATAAAGAGAGCTCAAACGTTTTTCTTTTTAGTTTGCCATTAGTTTTTGCTTTCCATTACTTCTCCAGTGGTGAGCTGGTTTGCACACTGGTCTCTCAACGCTGAAGTTGGAGGTTTGATCCCACCTCCAGCTTAGCGTATTCTTAAGTTCTTTGGTTATCTCCTTGCGTTATTGTTTGAAGTCCTCTGTTCACCCCAACAATTCATTACTTGTTCTCTACTTATGATGGGTAAGTGGCTTACCCCATAGTTCTCTGGTTTCCCAATATGGGGACCGCCGCTTTGATTCCTATGTGGCTTAAGGCAGCAGCCAACTTAGAATTATCATTAAAAATATCTCCAAAAATGCATATATTGGCTTTATATTATGGGGTAAAGACAGAGGGGTGTGCCTGAATTTAGCAGTTGATTTACTAAGACTGCAAAAAAATCTCAAACTGCCATCATTGTTAAAGGAATTCTCTCAAACATGACTGTTGAGGCTAACCTAAATTTACACTTGGTTTTAAAAGGCAGAGGAAAATTGAACAAGACTGGCCACTGTAAGATTCTCAAACTTTAGTAAATAGAGTGTAGTATGTAATCAGATAGCCCCAGCCATTTTTTCACAGTCCTCTCTCAAATACATTGGGATGCATATGTGCTTTTTATTAAATGAACACAACTCATTTAGGATCATCTGACAGTTTCGTACAGAGCAAGTGGGCACAATGCATACAGTTTGTGCCTCAAACTGCAACCAAGTCTCTCAGTATATCTATAGACTTAGATCTGTTACTTAGATCATTTGAGGTTACTTAAAAGTCATTAAGTGTCTGTGATAAATAAATGCTCTTTTCAGTCAGTTTCATCTGTTCTGTTGTACTGCTATTGTTCAACTGTGCTCATGACTTCTTGTGAGGTGAATTTGAAAATATACAAAACACATTGACATTGAGACTTTGTGAAAGTAAAATGAGGCAAGCAGCCTTTTTCTTTTATTACATACAGATCTTTAAAACTTCAAATACCCAAATTTCTCCAAGGATAAAATAAGCAGCATTAACTGACCCTTTACAGTAGTTTTATGTATCTCCTTCACTCTGCTAGCTGGATAGTAGGCATGCTAATAACGGACAAAATAAGACCTTTGAATTAAAAGAGGGTGAATTTTCTTTTTCCTATAACTAAAATCATGAACAGAGATCTGAACGACAAACAAGATTCCTGGAAGAGTTTATTCAGGATGAAGAATGTCTCCACCCAGAATATTTCTAATTTATGTTTTTATTAATTGTATTGTCTCTCTTCCTTCATAACAGCTGGATCTGCCATTGAAACCAGAGAATAGTAACATGATATCAGAATCAGATATGAATGCCAGTGTGACGTCCAAGTTTAAAAATCAGGCTTTGGTAAAGGACTATCGTCAAGACAATTCTGGAAATATCACTAAAGGCCATTTGTTTCCAAGGAGTTACGCTGCTGATCAGGACCAGGCAGATTCAACCTTTACGCTCACCAACATAGCACCACAAACAGAAAAGAGCAATGGACTATGGAGAACAGAAGTGGAGACACCAATGGGCAACAAGATACAGCAATACTGCAAGCCAAATGAAACGAACCCAGCTTACATCGTGACTGGAGTGGTCCCAGGAGAGACCTGGCTGCCAATAAAGAGGGAGAACAGAGCCATTGATCAGGGAGTTAACATTCCCAGTCATTTCTGGACTGCTTTCACTTGCACTGACAAAAACAGAAAGATTTCTCAAGCCTACATTGCTCAACAAATATACCGCAAGGATAATCGTCAGACCAGATTTCAAAAACAGAGAATGACTGTTGATGAGCTGGAAAAGAAGCTCACTGAGCTGTATAAACAGCCATTCAGTGTGTTCAGGAATACAAAGATCTAAATCTCAAAGTCTTAATTCTTAATGTTTGTTCCTTCTAGTGTGTGTGTCAGAGATGGACATTTTAATCAGTAAAGATGATTTTGGCTTAATTTGCTTTCATATGTCATTATGCAGTGTAACTGACTAACATCACAGTCAGGATGTTCAGAGAAGTGAAGATGTGAGATATTAATGTTAATGAAGAAAACTCTTCACTGTGAGTCCATATAGAGAGAAGTGTTTAGAGAACATGTTTCTGTATTTCTGTGTTCAAGATAAATTAGTTCTCCTGCTAAGCTTCAATAAAAGCTGTTTGCTGTGAAACTGGATGATTATCTGTTTCTTACAGTAACACGGATAAGATCACAGCCTGTTTATGTACAAACACTAAAAACAAATTATGCTCTGAACCTCAGAAGCTTCTACTTTGCTTCCCTGATGTGTTTGTCAGGACTGTCCACCAGTGGTTCCTCAGAAATGTAAGAAAACACGACCTGATCCTCTTACCTTTGGACACTGAAAAAACGCAATTCAGAATGTATTTGTGTAACACTGAAGTCTCAGTGGAGCATGAGTGACACATCAGAGGATCCACTGTGGTCAAACTGGTCTTGACAGGTGAACAGGTACACCTGATCAAGATCATCAAACAAGAGTGGCAGTTAGATATTCTGCAGGTTCATAAAAGTGACTACTAATGTAACTTATATGTGAGACACTACTCAAAATTTCTACTTAAGTACTGCTACTGTTGTAATAACAAGTATTAGAAAAGAAAAAAAATACTCAAGTGAGAGTGAATAAGTAGTTCATTGGAAAATTGCCTGAGTAACTGAGATGGATATCTGCAGACACAGCCTGAAAATGTTTCTGAATTGACTTGGTGATCTCCGTGGAAACAATCTATACAGACAAAGCTAAAACCCAACATATTACATGAGAAAAGCTCTGAGCCGTGAGACTGTTCACAGTACACTCTGGCTCTGCTAGTGCATGTGTACACATCTCTCTGTAATCTGGGTAAGGAGCAGGTTTACATTAATCTACATGCATTTCATGGTTAGATGATTATATAAGACTTCCTAGTTTATCTGTGTTCAATAAAGTAGTTTAATATCTCTGAAAGGCTCTGCCGAGTTTATTACTGCTTAAGTCTACATTTAAAAAACATAAACTTGATTAAGAGTCAAAATTACAAGTAGATTACTTGCTTAATAATGTATTTTTTTAGTAACAGTCCTGCTGCCCATCAGCTTCCTGAACGCTAGCTTACATTATGTGTGAACCTCTACAGACAGTCAACAAATTCACAGCCTTCACACTGTATAAAAATTCACTGGTAACCATATAGAATACTTATACCACAAAAATCTTTAGCAACAGCAATTTACCCAGCTTTGATTTTTGACTGTCATATATTTCACTGGTAATCATGCTGATCACTTCATACAGAATCAGACATGTATTTTTTACTTTATTTGATAGAGAGGTTGAGAGAAAGAGAGAGAAGAGCCAGGTAGAGTTCTGATTAAAGTCTCCGATGATATATTATTACATGTAGTATTATTAGTTGAGGTGAGATTGAGGAGTAAATGTATTTGTAAGTAGGTGAAAGTTCAGAAGAACTCTGAGCGATGCTCTGTTTTTTCTTATGGCTCGTTACTGATGTAAGGACATTTCTATTTTGTTTGTGTACTGTGTGTGTTACCAGCCCCAGGCCTAGGGGGAACCTGGGTGCGATACAAAGCCCGCTTCCTTTAATAAAATAGAGAACAGACACAGAAGTTATAGTGTGCACAGCTCTGGCATTCACTTTATAAATCCAAAAAACAAAAGAAGTAATAGCAATTTAAGCACTTGAACATCAATTCATATTAATTACATAGAATAAACAGTCAAAAACAATAGAAAATAGTTAAAGAAATAAAGACCACAAATTCACAATATAATCCAATTAAACACTAATGAAATAGTAAACAAAAACAAACAAACAAACAAACCCAACCATGTTCTCAATTAAATAAACTTAAGAACACATAAATTTGTAATACCCCAAACTCATGAAGACAATGTAAGAAAACAAATTGAATTACATTAAATACACCATTCTTGTTTAACCCAAACTTATAAATAAATGCAAGAAATGAAAATTAAAAAAAAAGGAAGAAAACCAAAGCAATAAAGACAATACCAAATGTGATTAAAAAAAACCCTGACAACATATTTAAGCAATAATAAACTTCACTGCTTCAATATAAAAAGGAATACTAAAGCCAGTTAAAGTGCAAATGCAATTAAAGTGCTTTTCAAAACAACTCATAGGCGTTAACACAACCAGTAATTCAATCACAAGAGTGTATTTACTTACAGCAGCACCTGAACACAAATACATACACAATAGCACAGCCTTCCTTCGCAGAGAAACCATGTAACATACTGTAGCAGCTTAGTTAGGCTAATGCTCTTTGTTAAGTTGTTAAGTTAATGCTCTGTGAGCTTACACGATGGCATAAAATTACATAAAACACAAGGCACATAAAAATACATTCTAAGACCAGTTAAACCAAGGCATTAGTACATAAAACATTTCCATACCTTAACAGAAAAGAGAACAGACACAGACACAGACACAGACATTAAGGTGTGCACAGCTCTGCATTCGAAGCATGACTTCCTTGCCACCGGTTTTATACACACCAGCCATCCTCTGAGTAAGGAGCGCTCCCTGCTGGTCTAGTGCCGCAAACTAGTGCCCTTTTACTTAAGCCGAAATGCTTGTAAAAGACATGAAGTTTATTAAGAAATCCCAAACCAAAGAAAAAGAATGAAAAAGAAGAATGTGTGAACATATGTATATGTGTGTTAATTAGTCTTTATTAAGATTCCCAACCCCTTACATGTATGAGCGACAAATGAACTTCATATCACATTACCTGCCGTCTGATCAGATCATCGTTTAGACCAGTCTGTCTAAAATAGTGAAAAACAAACTTGAACTTTATGGAATTACTGTGCAGTGAGGAGCCTAGAACTAAATATTCCTTATACAGCCATTTACTGTGGCAGAATCATAAATTACTGAAATGGGTAAACCAGAGGCTAACTAAAAGATTTGACTTGACTAGTTATGTACCATCTATGTACAGTGGAGTGAAATTACATTCCTCCAAGGAACACGGTGCAATATGGAACAGAATAAGCAGTACAGAGTGCAACGTGCAGACGTAAGTGTGCAAAAAAGTTGACTAGAAACAATACAATAAATACCATAAATAACACATTAGACACAGTAAACAGACAGGACAGTGCAGCACCAACACAGCACTCATTTCTGAGTATGAGGTAGGGTTGTGGAATAAGGTGCACAGATATTTAACATGCTGTGATCTGTGAGTTACACAGTCAGATTATAACACACGTGAGCACAGCAGTTCCTGAGGTAGGATATACACAGTACTAGAGTAAACAAAGTGTAAACACAGTATTAGCAGCAAGTTACAGATAGTGCAAAAGAGCATCAAAAGAGGAGTGTGTGAGTGTAGAATGTGTGTGAGGGGGGCTTTCAGATCAGTCCTTGTGAGTTTAAAAACCTGATTGAGGATCAAAGCTGTTGCAGAGTCTGGCAGTGATGGCACGGATGCTCCGGTACCTTCTGCCAGACGGCAACAGTGAAAAAAGTCTGTGTGAGGGATGGATGGGGTCGTCCACGATGCTGGTGGCTTTGCAGATGCAGCGTGTGGTGTAGATGTCCATGATGGAGGGGAGAGAGACCCCGATGATCCTTTCAGTTGTCCTCACTATTCGCTGTAGGGTCTTGCGGTCGGAGGCGGTGCAATTCCCAAACCAGGCGATGATGCAGCTGCTCAGGATGCTGAAGCCCTGTAGAACATGGTGAGGATAGGAGGGGGGAGATTAGCCTTCTTCAGTCTCCGCAGGAAGTAGAGGAGTTGGTGGGCTCTCTTGGCTATGGAGTTGGTGGTGAGGGACCATACACTGGACTTAATCTGTACAACTGGACTTGATAATATTGCTGTTCGGGGCACCCATATTGGTATATCTGACCATCATTTTATTGATTTCAGCTTTAATTTTCATTTCCATAGGTGCTCTAAGAAAACCATGGTGACTTACAGAAATCTGAAATATCTTGATCCGTTAACTTTTTCTGCTTTACTTCATGCTTCACCACTCTGACATCTCTTTCCTGTCCTGTCCTGATGAGATTCTCTCTGTATATAATGATTCCATGTTGCACACTCTAGATGCTCTTGCACTCCTTAAACAAAGGCTTGTGCCATCCTCCCGCTCTTCACCGTGGTTTACCATTGAGCTTAGGGCTATGAAAGCCACTGGCAGATGTCTTGAGCGGCTTTATAGGAAAACTGGCCTTACTGTCTATTCTTTAGCCTATGCAGATCATGTGTCTAGATACAGAGATGCTTTAAATAGGGCACGTTCCTCTTATCTATCTTCGGTGATCCACCGTAGCTCATGCCGGCCCAGGACCCTTTTCAACATTATTGACAAACTACTGCAGCCCCCAGTAGTAGCTTCCAGTGGTTTAGTTAAATTATGCAATGAATTTGCTCACTTTTTTCAGAATAAAATTGACTCAATCTGCCATCCCCTTACTTCTGTCTATCAGCCCACCCTGGATTTCTTCTTCCCCAATATTGCCCAGCCACTCTCATGCTTTACTCCTGTCACATCTGTTTCTGTAGTAGAGCTGATTAAAAAATCCAATCCAACTCATTGTCAGTTAGATCCTGCTCCAACCTCCTTTATTAAGGATTGTGTGACAGAGATAGCCATCCCTATCTCACACCTTATAAATAGATGTTTGGCAACCTGTTGTGTCCCTACTGATCTCAAAACCGCTGTTGTTACCCCTGTCCTGAAAAAGCCAGGTCTAGACTCGCATGACTTAAATAATTACCGACCAATTTCTAATCTCCCATTCACTGCTAAGCTGTTGGAAAGAGTAGTTGCTACACAGTTGCAGTCCCACCTGGAAGCAAATAATTTATACGAGCCTTTTCAATCTGGTTTCCGTCCCTTGCATAGTACAGAGACTGCGCTTCTTAGAGTTACTAATGATCTTCTATGTGTAGCTGATTCAGGAGCTCTTAGTATGTTGATACTTCAAGTCAAGTCAAGTTTATTTATATAGCGCCTTTTACAACAGATGTTGTCACAAAGCAGCTTTACAAAGAATCCGGGTCCACGCCCCCAGTGAGCAAGCCTTGGCGACAGTGGCAAGG